AGAGTATAAATTTATTGGTGTCCTTGCATGCTAGTTTAGCTAGGAGGTGATACGGGCGGGCGGGCTCACTTTCTTGTGCGGTTACCGCCACCTTAGGAAGCCTCGAAAAGACCCCTCACCATCTCCTTTGTGTCCTTGCTAACCAACTCTCCTCATTAAATCCCCCTCTCCTCCCTCCTCTCCGTGTACAGCTGCTGCTAGCTAGCTTAATTGGCGCGCTTGTTAGCTCTCCGCTAGCTACCTGCTGCCGCTTATACATACCCGACGCCACCGTCACACGCGCACGCATACACCTACCGGCCCAAGAAAAGCTCCTCTGGCCCTCCTCTATCTAGCCGGCGAACAGGAGATCGATCGATCGGCGCATGCAAGGCGTCGGTGACCAGGGAGGAGGCATGGAGATGAGCTTCGGGGGCGGGGGCGGGGGCGGCGGGGAGTGCTCCTCGTCGTCCGCGGCGGCGGTGGCGGTCGCGGCCGCGTCGGCAGCCGAGGCGGAGGAGCGGCAGCTGCTCAAGGGGGAGATGGCGGTGCACCCGCTGTGCGAGCAGCTGGTGGCGGCGCACGTCGGGTGCCTGCGCGTGGCCACCCCCATCGACCACCTCCCGCTCATCGACGCGCAGCTCGCGCAGTCCAGCGGCCTCCTCCACTCCTACGCCGCCCACCACCGCCCCTTCCTCTCCCCGCACGACAAGCAGGAGCTCGACTCCTTCCTCGTACGCGCTACCTACCTACCACTTCTTCAGCCATGGATCGCGTCGTGTTCATCTTCATGTGCGTGCATGCACGTCGTCGTTGACGCTGGGTGTTGTGTCTGTGTTTGTGCAGGCGCAGTACCTGATGCTGCTGTGCTCGTTCAGGGAGCAGCTGCAGCAGCACGTCCGGGTGCACGCCGTGGAGGCCGTCATGGCGTGCCGGGAGATCGAGCAGTCCCTGCAGGACCTAACTGGTAAAAAGGATTCTCTTCTCTACCTACCTGGAAATTTCATTTCTATGTACAGCATCCATGTCTGTATTATATTCCTATCTTTCCGTTTCTGTTTCACTTTTGGACTAAAAAGAAAGTGCTATCATCAGGTCATGCTTTTTGTGCAATATTATACATCCTTTGCTTGTTAGTTAGTGAATTTAGTATCTAGTTGTTGTCATGTCTCAAAGGTAAAAGGAAAACTGTAGTTGTTGTCATGTCCTCTTCACGTCGAAAATCTCAAAGCTGTTTATGCCTTTCCTTCTAAGACTTCCCCTCTTCAGGTGCGTCGGTTGAGCATGTACCAAACATAAACAAACTTTAATTAAAAAAACATAAACAAACTTTATGATACCCTGCATATGTATATCACTATGAAATAAGGAGATGCAGGTGAGGGACTGGGTTGCACCCTAGTAAGACGGAGGCCCGAGTGGAGAAGCCCAGCAGCCTGGCCGACGCCCTAACAAATTTGAAATTCCTCTCCATTGAGCCGAGTGATTTTTCAGATACAGAATGGCACAAGCCTTGTGCTTAGGCATGCTAGGTAAAGTTAACAAGATGGACATCATTGAAGTATGATGTTCGAGCCCTACTCCCTAGAGCTACCGAGTCACCCGTAGTCCTGCGGTTCTACCCGCCTAATCTTCTTCACCGCCCCTCCCCGTCTACCGTCAGCAAGCCTCTTATACCTCATTTGGCCATTAAATCCTCCTCCATGAACCACCAATTATCTTTTCCTAACCCTGATCAGATGATCCATTCTAATCTCGATCGGTGTTCATACCCGTCCAACTACCGATTAACACCGGTGGTGCCAGTCTCACGTCAAGATCCCCCGTCCCACTTCTTCCTCCCCCTTCTTTCTCCTATCTAGAGAATCACTTCCTCCTCCTCCTTCCAAGCCAACAGTGAGTCTCTATGATCAGGGAGCAAAATTACACCAAATAGATTTTTTATAAGAGGATAACCAAGGGTCATGGTATCTGTGGATAATATTGGTAGATGAAATCTAGTAACTGGTTTAAAAAGATTTAACTAAATATTGAACTTATAACATGGAAGGCTTCAGTAACAATGTGAAATTTTCTCTTGGCAACCCTCGCTCATGCTCCTCGATAGGTAAGAAGGGGCAATATTGTTCATATCATTTAAACATAATCCCAAGTGAGGTCTTTTTTTATTCCGGATTTTTTTTTGCTAGGGACCGAAATAACCGGTTTCTTGAAATATCTAAAAAATTCAGGGGAAAAACAGATATCTTTGCCCAAAAGCATTTGAAAATTTTCAAATTTTGATCGAATTTTGTTGAATTCGAGGAAAGTTTGTCAAAACCGTAAATTCTGGCTGGTATTTTTCTTTCCGCTCCCTACCGGAAAGGCATGTTTCCGTATTTTCCAACTGGAATGGAAACCCTGATCACAGGGCCCTCCATTTTGCTCCTTCCGTGTATGGATTACAATTTCATAACATACTCCATATCACTAGCTTTTACTAGAACATGTAGGAGAAACTGTGTATTCAGCTTACAAGGTAGAAATAGACACCCAAATTTAAGCAAGGTGAATTTAAAAACTATGGGCAGTGGAAATGTACGTTCACTCTCCCACGGTCCCACCCAACTGAGCTCAACTATATACTCCATATTTGCACCGTGTCTCGATTAATCTCAACGAACAAAAGTTGATACCTTGCTATGAGCAAACACAAAACTGAAGTAATATTTTTGCTCAAAAGACTGTCGATGGAACAGGTGACTCTTGTCTAACTAGCTGCCTATGTGTTTTTACTTGAGTATCACATGATCCTGGAGACAAAAGGTGTCCCATGACATGACATGACCATACCCTTCATGGTCGCGCCCCTATTATGAGAAATTTCAATTATATTCATTGCACTAGCTCTTTTGACAAGTGCAGTATCTCATATATAAAGCTAACTAGCCAGTAGCATGGAGAAAGATATGCGCTGAAATGGCTGTACGCATAGCTTAGCATTCATGCAAACTTTAATAATTAATGGTTTGACAAAGTTTTGCTAGTACTACTACCTTTTTGTTTCTAACTCAAGTCACGCTCAGGTTTTGCCACCATATATTATCATGTCGGCTCTATCTTGCTTCTTCCGTCTCCAGCGCTTCACGTAAAACCTGAAGTTGCATGGGAAGCATCCACATGCATGCATGCATGCATGTGTCTCTACTCCACTTGATTAATCTGTCGATGAGTAGTTTCCTAGCTAGCTAGCGGTTTTTTCTCCTCTCGATCTTCCTAGCGCTGTAGTACGTCGAACTGTTGCACACAGCGACCATCTGCAAAATTCCAAACGCGTATAAGATCATGCGTCAAATCAGCAAGCCTTTTAATTTGGCACTTAATTAGCTTTCGTGCTTCATGTAGCCCATGCTCATGGCTGGTACGGTTGTCTAGCTTGATTCGGTTCATGTGTCGCGATAACGATTTGATGCATCCATGCCCCCCTTAATTAGCTATAGTTGCTCAGCAAGGTTAATTTATTAGCTATAGTTTTCCCATTTATGATTTATCTAAATTACATTGTATATGGTTTGCCCTATCTGAGTTTCATTGTTAACCTTTGCCATGTGGATGTATGGATCAGGTGCGTCGTTGGAGGAAGGGACGGGAGCGACAATGTCCGAGGACGAGGATGAGGGGCCGCCGATGATCATGGAGGCGGCACCCATGGATATGAGCTCGAATGGACATGACATGATGGGCTTCGGCCCTCTGGTACCCACGGACACGGAGCGTTCCCTCATGGAGAGGGTCAGGCAGGAGCTCAAAATTGAACTCAAACAGGTATTCATGTGCTAGAAACTGAGTTTGCTTCTTCTTCTTTTTTAAAGTGAAACTTAGTTTGCCGTAAAATCTAGATGCTATTACCACCTTCCTAAAATATATCAAGTATGTGCTAGTACAATACATCCAATCATTTTCCTTTACTAATTGACGTTTGGATATGTGCAAAATTATTTGGATTTCTCGAGTGAAGAATTTGTTTTCTCAAGGGAAGATATTGGCATCAAATTTGTCTTGAAAATACTTTCATAATATTACCATTTAAAATATTACTCGCACATTCATATAAAAGTAATAAGAGTGAAAATTATGAACTGGAGACCATGTCAAAAGCTACATCATAATGAACATTGGGAGTGCCATGGAAGCTTGATTGTATCAGTGTTAATTTCTTCTTTGCAGGGTTTCAAGTCAAGGATTGGGGACGTGAGGGAGGAGATACTCCGGAAGAGGAGGGCCGGGAAGTTGCCTGGGGACACCACCACCATACTGAAGCAATGGTGGCAGGAACACGCCAAGTGGCCCTACCCCACGGTGAGTGCACCGTACCTATCATGCATGCATGCATGCAAGAATGCAACTAGCCATCCACTGCTGCTGCTGCTGCTGCTAGCTAGCTAGCTAAGCAGTTGCCATGCATTCTTAGCTGTTCTCCAACCCGTTGATTAAGCTTACACCAAAACTTGTTCCATCAGACAGCTTGCATTGCATGGTGTGCATGCTTCATACAATCCCATTCCTTGTCTGGTGTTTTGTCCGTGGTTTTAAATTATCATATCTCAATTGCATGATGTTTACTTTGCTTTGCTTTTAAATGTTGTGTATATGTTCATGAGTAAGTCAATAATAGTTGCGTGGAATGCGTTTTGTTTTGCTGGTACAGGAAGACGATAAGGCCAAGCTGGTTGAAGAGACTGGCCTGCAGCTGAAGCAAATCAACAACTGGTTCATCAATCAGAGGAAGCGCAACTGGCACAACAACTCCCAGACATCAACCCTCAAATCAAAGCGTAAAAGGTGAGCCAACCAATATATATCACCATCTAAATTCGTTCGCTCCGGATCGGTGATTTCTCAATCAACTCAACTTCTGATCCATCAGTTAGAGCGCGAGCTCTGGCCTCTGCCATATATAGTAATGTTCTAATTTTTTATCTTTGTTTTTGGCTTTGATGTGTATGTGCAGGTAGCTTAGGTGGGAGCTGCAAAAGTGCAAAGTATATACATGCATATACATATACCTGACGCCTAATCACACGAAAGATCTCGGTGACACACACACAGACACAGAGAAATAAGAAGATCTGGATTCAATTTTATATCTAGTTATTAGTCAGAGGTGACACCTTAATGACATACGTACACGCTACTAGTCTGACCACTGGCATACGCGTTGCAACTGTTGAGCTGATATTGTATACTCAAAAGGAAAAAATCTTGTGGTTTTTTGTTGTGGGTGAACGTACATATGTTTCCAAAGATTCATTCCTGTGCATATGTATGTATATTGATCATTCCATGGCCTTCTACGGCGTCTCCAATGACCAAAGAAAAGGAGATGCGCACCTCTGCTTTTATCAAGTCTCTCTACGTATGTGCTGTCGTCCATAGCTGTTTTGTTTCAACTTTCAAAGGATGCTACATATAATCGGTGATAACATTCAACGGTGTACGTACGCGTCTTGATGCATGGAACGGAATCTCTAGTGCTGTGTGGGCCTTTTTGTATCAAATTAGGTACACCAAACTTGAATTGGACGACGACTGAAAATTAATTGGATAATTAGGCCTAACCACCGCCACAAGACAAAGTCCCAGACTTTTCCACACACATATATGTTGTGCATCCTCATCATTTAGGCAGCTATGGCGCAGATTATAGTTATGCAAACGGTAGGCCTTACTGGTGCAAGAGCCAAAAGCCAAAGCCTAGGGTCAAATATCAGGGTAAAGCCTAGTTCACACACAGCATTCAGGCTGGAATTGCCGACCACCTACTAGAAACAAGCAAAAATCTGCACCAACAAATTCATCATCAGATTTAGATGAAACCTTCCAACACTGCAAGCACAGCTTAGTAACACACCACCGCTCATATTTATTCGGAGAACAACATACTCGGAATGCGAAGAGTTCACAATTTTAACACCCAGAGGAACTACAGATGTGATGCAGTTCATAGTCGACCAATGACCACCCAGAAGAAATCCAGAGACAGTTCACCACCCAGAGGAGACCCAAATGCGGTTCCCAATTCAGCACCCAGACCAATATCGACGAGTACCTTAACATCACCTATATATCACTACAATAGTCCCTACTGTTTACATGTTCACCATACTTCTGTTGCCTCACCAACGAATACCACTCCGATCGCTGCACATACTTTACTTTCCGTAGTAGCCCTGCTGAGGGGGGTAGGAACCAGGTGGGGGATACGAACCGGGTGGAGGGTATGAACTGCCCTGGGCCTGGGGGTAACCTGCTGGCGGGTAACCTGCCGGTGGGTAGCCTTGAGCTGGCGGCGGTGGGTAACCCTGAGCTGGAGGAGGTGGGTAGGCACCATAAGGCTGGCCGTATGCTGGTTGTGGTGCATAGCCAGCGGGTGGAGGGACAGGCTGATCGATGCGTGACATCTGCTGCATTGGAGGCACTTGCATGGGCTGTGGCCCGAACTTCCCATCCCTCTTGTCCATTTCAACCTTGTGCTGTGTCTGCATTTGCAAGTCAATGTCATAAAATGGATACATATGGGTTAAGCAGGGCGATTCATTAGGCTACGAGCAGATATGGGGGTATATTTACCTGCATACAGGCGCAAACCCTGCAAGGATGGTACCAAAAGTTTATCAACATTGCAGGCTTACTGTGGAGAAGAAAAAAGATCAAAGGTATAAGAGCCTTACGAGCAGTAGACCATATCAGACAGGCAGGAAAGGATCTGGGAAGCCTCTGAAAGTTCCTCACTACCGACAATAGCAGCAACTATTGAGAAGATGCAAGCAACTTGTTGAAGGCAGAACATGAAACCCTGTAGTAAAAGGTGGTATTCAGTAGAGAATTGTAAATAGGAACCACAGAAAGAAATCTGTAACATAGGAGGGCAGTGACAGTACAATGATGCAGTTATCACACTTGGTTGTCTGTATGTTGAATTCGTCTTGAAGCAAGAAGCGGGTTGAAGCAACTGAATTACCAAAGCACAGAAACACCTGAAAAGATCATATAAATTCAATGAACACAAATATAAGCTTAATCAGAAGGGCAGCAGCATCATTAGAAGTTTAACTATGAAAATTTGCACTTCACATCATTTAAGATCAAATGTGTATTGTTCTGTTCGATAACGGTGGTCTAGTTGATCAAATAAATCAAAGCTAGCTTATGGATCATCTCAAGCTAATTGGTTGAAAAAATCAAAGCTTGCTTATCGACCCATCTCAAGCTAATTGATCTACTCATTGTTCTTTCATGCCAAAAGAAATAGAATGAGACGGAAGACATAGGCATACTGCAAGGTGTTTGAAACTACCAGACATGCAACGAAATAACTAAGTTAGCTGAGCCTAGAAATACAAAAACTCCACAAAATCGGTACAGAATACTGCTAATCAAATAACCAATGGAAGGAGTTATCCATTATCAGATACACATGAAAACTATTAGATATGTCATTATGGAATCCAACCGCATCAAGATCATAAGTTAGGACAGGTACAGTAAGAGGGAACTGATACGTCAATATGGAATCCAACCACATCAAAATCATCAGCTAAGAGAGGTATACTGAGAGGAAACTTCAGAGCAAAAGCACACAAAATGGGCCATGTACCTCAGTTGCAAGACAGAATTCTGGGCATTTGCTTTCACCACACTTGCCACTACATGGCATATAGCCAGCACAGCACGTATACCTAAAACACATAGAAGCGTGGAGGGGATCAGGGGGATTGTAAAAAAAGGCACGCTTCTAGCCGTAACAAGTAGAACATAATATAATTGACACTACCTTGACATGTCATTGTAGAGAGCCCTTTTACGAAGCATGTATGACACGCATGGCCCACTGAACAGCAAATAGAGGAAATGTAGCAGATTAGCAAGTAAATAAAAATCTATATGCTGCAAAATGCTAAATCTATGAACCCAATGCTACCACATTATATTGTTCCACAAACTATAGCATCACGGTAAATATTGAGAATCTACTTGAGCATTTCATTTTTAGAACCCACTGCATTTGCAAAATGCAGGGTCTGCCAGAAGATAAAACTTCCTAACATGATTGCTTGATTAGATATTACAACGATGATAAACTTCCCAATATGATTGCTTGATTAGATACTCTACATTGAAGATAAACATCCCAATATGATTGCTTGACTAGAAAATATACATTGGACAGGAAATGAACATTGTTCACCAAGGACCCAACAGTAAAGAAAATACTACATCAATATCCTTTGGCAAAATTCATTTGGTGTCATGTGGACTAGTAGTAACTACTGGGTCTTATTTGAATGTAAACTAGCAGATCCAGTTAAATTGGCCTTCAAATTTGTAAATCACATTGCAGTTGCAGAGGAAAATTAATGCAGTTGAGGTGGTAATTGACTGTCATACATCAGTTTTAGTCCCTGTGCAAGAATTACTTCACTTTGCGTGCTGTTGCAACTCTCGTGTATCACCGACTGTTTTAATCGCGTGTGTTTCAAAGAATGGCAAATATAATATTCTGGGTCTTACTACTTTACGAACATGAACTCTACTTGATTAGGATTCTTCTGGAGGCAAAATAACTGACAGCACACTACAACAGGCACTCTGAAATGATAAGAGGACCGCTGATTTTCACATGCATGCTTTGGCGTAAATGTCTTATTCATATAATACCTAAAAACTGGCTCGATTTCAGAGGCCCAAACCAAACGGTCACAGAATAACCAGTCATGTGCCTGGTTCTGAGAAGCAATTGGCGGTCAACTGGTAACTGCTAGTAAGTACAAATCCAGGCATCTTCATGATCGCTAGTAACGTCAACAATACAATGCAGAACAAACAGAGTTCCCGTGTATTCTGTCAAAATTCCCTTAAACCCAACCTAATTCACGAAAACACGGGCAATTCATCGCAGATCAAGCAAAAGAGGGTGGTTCAGAACCCTGAGATGGGAAGCACGGCGTTCGGGTCAGGGATCGTTTGCCAACAGACAAGAGGTCGTCGTTCATACTATGAAACAACACATAATAACTGCTACCTAGTATGCTACGAATCTAGGCATTTCCATGATCGCTGGTAACGAAACAACACAATGTACAACAAACAGGAGCGCGCGTACTCGTCGAAATCCCCATAAACCCTAACCCAATTCGCGAAAACACGGGCAGTTAATCGCAGATCTAGCGGAGAGGGGGGCTTCCGTAAACCCTGAGATGGGAAGCGCGGCGATCGGGTCAAGGGCCGCTTACCACCAGAGCGACAGGCAGCAGTCTGCACGGGGGGAGAAGAGCGCGGGTCAGAGACGGGATCAACCGAGCAGGAATCGACGAGGGAGAGAGAGAGAGAGACGGGGGTGGGGACGGCACCGGCGATTTTCTACTTACAGGGGAAGTCGGCCTGGATGGCGTTGGGGAGGTCGGTGTGCCAGAGGTTGCGGTAGCTCTGGCGGAGCTGCATCTTGTCCAGATTCGCCTGCGACGACGCCATCGCCGCGCTCGCCTGCTTGCCTCCGCCTGCCGGCGCGCGCGGGGGACGGCTCCGGTGGGGACTGGGGAGGAGATCTGGCGGGCGGGGGCGGGGGCGGGGGCGGGGGAGGGGACGACGCGGCTAGGCTGGAGTCGACGGCGGGTGGGGAATGAGTAGTGCGCTCCGCGTCATTCCGTTGCCCTTGGGCGGAGGAAAAGAACTGTGCGGGCGTGGGTGTTGGGTCCCATCGCACGCCCACTGGGTTGGCGGGCCCGCCCAGGGTCGTCCCGCCCGGTCAACGGGCCCACTCGTTTTTTTTAGAACTACACGGTTTTATTGGTTGGAATGGAATGGTCAGGCTGGTTGTTGGTACGATGTTGCGCAGAACCGGAGGGGAGCTTTTTTTTTTTTAGATTCAACCAAGCCTTTATTCACTCAAAATCCACAAATTGTGGGGTACAAAACGGATCGTGCGGGATCGACATCCACATGTGTCTTCCCTGATTCAAAGAGTGCGCAAACTTGGCTAGTCTATCAGCATCATGGTTCGCTGCTCTACTTTCAAACGTAAAGTTACAAGTAAAATTGAAAGCCCTATGATTTGTTTCAGTAATGATAGCTCCATATCTAGCACTGCTTCCTCGATGAATATCATTTATGACTTGCTTGGAGTCGGAAGCGATGATGACATTCTGAAGGAGGAGGTCCGTTGCAAGTGATAGGCCTTCTCTACATGCCAGCGCTTCCAAAGTAGCCACATCATTGATGCCATTGATTACGAGTGCTGAACTACCAAGGAAGTTACCTGTCCCGTCTCGGCATACTGCCGCTGCTGCTCCTCTTTTGTGCACCTTTGAGATTGCTGCATCCACATGAATTTTGGCGAATCCGGGAGGGGGCGCCTTTGGCCTGACAACCGCATGTCTGGGAGCTGCTTGTTTCTTCTCCCCCTGAGCTGGAAGAAGATCAAGTTCGTGGATGAACCTCGAGATAAACCAGTGGGTTGCAGCGGGGCTTTGGAAGATTTGTTCGTGATCGCCTTTCTCCTTGCCCACCATATCGCCCAGAGCGTGACAGCTAACTGGATGAATGCCTCATGAGATAAGGTGTCAATCATAGTGAACAGCCACTGTTTTGCATCTGGTTCAGTCGTCGCACAAAGATGTTCTGCTAATTCTCCATCCACCATGGCCCAAATGCAGCGGGACATCGAACACTCCAATAGAGAATGTCTCCAAGAATCTGATGCACCGCAAAGCCCACACGCACAAGAAGTGGCCATGTTTCCGTGTGCCCGGACATCTTCGGTTGGAATGGACTGCTTAGCTAGCCTCCAAAGAAACATTCTAATCTTGCCAGGAACCTGAGTCTGCCACAATTTCTTCCATGAATCAGCATCTCTAGCCGAACTTGATGATCATGTTGATCCATCCACCCATGCTCCTCTCCTGTATTTGGTTTCTAACATCATTCTATATGCTGATCTTACCGAAAAACACCCATTCTTCTCAAAGAACCATGTCCAAGTATCCGTAATATTACTAGTACACAGTGGTATCTCCAATATTGTTGTTATATCAATTGGAAGGCAAGCTTCTTCCAGTCTGGTAATATTCCATGTGGCCGAAGTGGCATCAATCAGCTCAGCGACCATCTGGGGAGGGTTTGTTGTTCGGGTCCCAAAGGGCTGCATCATCTCCTTCCTAGGAATCCAATTATCATTCCAAATGTGGGTGGAATTGCCATTGCCGATTGTTCTGATCAGTCCTAGTTTTAAGATGTCACGACCTTCAACTATAGATCTCCAGAACCGTAGGGGAGCTGCAGGCGGCGATTAGGAGACGGGGCGCTCGCAACAGCGCCAGGTGGGCTGGCCCACCAAGGGGCAACACACATAAAAGTAATAAAAGCATGAAAACTATCCAGAAACTAGTACAAACGCAACGAATCAAACTCACGACCTGCACTTAATACAGTTGTTCAGCTAGCCACTAGGATGCATGGTTGCAAGTGAATAAATACAGCGCTGGAGCTTTAAAACCAATTATAGCCGCTCTTACATGATTTTCTTTTAAAAAATAAAACTTCGCAGATTTTGGAAAAAGTTCATGAACATGAAAAAAACTTTGCCCTATTCAAGAAAAATTTCAACAGATTTTGAAAAAAGTTCATCAATTTTAATAAATAGCTTCCATAAAACTGAAAAATGTTCATCAAAATCTTGAAAAAAGTTCACCAGTTTCAATAAAGTTCACAAAACTGAGAAAAGTTCACAAACTTTTGGAAAAAGTTCATCGATATTGACAAAGTTGATCAAATTAAAAAAACAAGTTCATTAGATTTGAAGAAAGTTCATCGATTTTGAAAAACGTTCATGAAATTTGAAGAAAGTTCATCGAATCTGTAAAAAAATGTTCATTAAATTGAAAAGAGTTCATCGAATTTGAAAAAAAATCCATCGATTTTTATAAAAATAGTCCACTAAAAAAATTCATAGATTTTGGAAAAAGTGAACACAAAAAAAAAGTCATCAATTATGAAAAAAATGTTCACTGCATTTAGAAAGTTCATCTAATTTGAGCAAAGTTCATCGAATTCAAAAAAGTTCATCGACTTTTAAAAAAGTTCTTCAAATTCAAAAAAATTTATCAAGCTAACAAAAAAGTTCAGCGAATTTAAAAAAAGTTTATCGAACTAGAAAACAGTTAATCAATTTCTAAAAAAGTTCATCCCATTTGAAAAAAGTTTATAGAATTTTAAAAAAAGTTCACCAATTTTGAAAAAAAAAGTTTACAAATTTTGGTAAAAGTTCGTCAATTTTGGAAAATACTTCATTGATTTGTTGAAAACTTCATTGAATATGAAAAATAAAAGAGACAGGGAGAAACGAAAAAACACAAAAAGTAAAACAAAAAAGAAAAGGCAAAACAGAAAAAGTGAAAGAAAACTGAGTAAAATAAAATCCCCGGAACCCAGCCCAGAAAATCGGGTGGAAAAAAAAACTGGGACTCCCGCGCACTAAGGGAAAAGATGTAAAGGTCGAAAAAGTACGTACTTAGCACATGTCGCCCAAACTCCAAGATGGTTAGTACGCTTAGCTCTGAAACGATGGGATGTGAGTTCGAATCCCGACCTGTCACTGTTTTTCTGAGTTTTTAACCGAGAAAGAAACAATAAATGGGCCGACCCAGCTGAGTGAGTTCGAATCCCGACCTCTCACCGTTTTTCTGAGTTTTTAACCGAGAAAGAAACAATAAATGGGCCGACCCAGCTGACGCGGCTGCAGGCGCCGGTTAGGAAAATTGCCCTTTAACCGGTGCTGCAGCGCCGAATAGGGTTTGCCGAACCGAAGGCCCGCATCGTGGAAGAAAAGAAAAAAAAGTTCAGATAATTGGGCTTTTTTCTTTAATTTATCCCTAAATGATAACCACCGAGACATCAAGAATTTAGGATACCATCCCGAATGCCCGTTTCTCCGTTGGATTTGATCATGCATCTTAGAGCGCAGGTTCACGGCCACGTCAGCGAGTGAGAGCGTTCGGGGGAAAGGATCCCCACCGTGAACGCATACCCCGCACGTGTTCCCTTCCTTCTGCTTATCCATTCTTCGTGTTAAGATTAGATTAGTTTATGGTTGTCGATTAATTATCACCTGCTAATTACCAAACAGTCATTAGTGAAACAATGCGACGATTGGGTATGCGCAACCCGCAGAGAATGCCTCCTCCCAAATAGTCATTAGTGCTAATTACTCTGCATTGCCATCTAAAGACCGATAGAATGCCTTCTCCCTCCGTCTACCTATTGCGGACGGGTGGGGGCATGGCAGACGTGGCAAGAGCGAGGGCAAGTGGCGAGCGATGTCGGGCTGGTGGGGGCTTATGAGGATAGGGCGAGTTGGGCGATGGTGCCACTGAAGGAAGCCGGGAACCAGTAATTATAGGCGGAATGTAGATGAACCAGCGTGTCGCGAGAAACACGACGGTCATCGCGATCATCGTTATTCAATGCATAAACAAGCATGGCTTAGTGCGCCACCTTGCCATGGAAAACTAGAAAGACTGAAATTATGACTGTGTCGTCCCGTCCCGTTAGTGGTACGTCTCATCCGTGCTAGGTCGCACATCGGCATGACGGTCAAACGAGTGCGCTCGATTCATCCAGATGAGGTACGTGCGTGATTCGTTGTTTATTCGTGTAGGATCGAGTCGGTGGGATAGTGTAGGTGTAGGACCGCAATAGCTGATGAACGTTCACCGGGAGATAAGGCATTTGCGAATGTTTTTGGTCGGATAGTGTAGGTGTAGGACCGCAATAGCTGATGAACGTTCGCTGGGAGATAAGGCATTTGCGAACGTTTTTGCTGGCAGTTTTTTCAGATTCACATGGTATTTTCTTCAGAACAACATGTTAGTTTATTCAGAGGTAGGCATTTTTATTCGAAAAAACTGCAACCTTCGGATCTTGCGTCGCAACTAAAACTGCCAGGAGTGTATTAGTAGGCTAACTAGTGATCGATCAATAACTTGTAAACACTGAGCGAATATAAATAAGGAACTGCTAATAACTTGTAAACACTGAGCACACAGAAATAAGGATCATGTTGTGCACAGTAGTAGAAATGTTCACACGAGACTCACAGGCCTGGCATTGTAATATGTTCACATTAGTAGCCCACATTCACAACCAACTAGTACGGTTCCCATACATAAGATCAACATGTTAATGCATCTCAATGATTCGCAGATCATGTACAAATATGTAGCTCGAAAAGCTAATATATACAAAAACACTTGTTCTTGCTACTAACTTGGATGCTTCTCTAGGCCAACATTTAGTACAGAGTGAAAGAAAAATTTGTTTGTGAAATCTACATTTCCTCTTGCAAATATAAGTGGTTCCACCAACAGCTGGAACCATGAGAATGAACCACACATGATGGAGGAACATCCACTGCAATATGATTTGGTCTTCTCTCGATCACATGTCAAGACTATTTTTGGAATACAAACTTTAACTTA